GGGTCTTGCTCTTTCTCAGGCTGGTCTCGAACTCCTGAGCTCAAACGATCCAACCGCCTCAGCCTCCCAGAGTGCTAGGATTACAGGTGTGAGCCACCACACCCGGCCTCCAGTTGCAATTCTAATGGCTGCTTAGAGGTAGGAGTTTTTCTTTAAGTAGGAAAAGGGAAGGCAATTGCAATTAGAATGAATGAAAATGGTCCAGACCTGTGTATCACAGTAAATAAATCTTCAGTCGTGCGTGAAGCCACAAACACGTCATCATCATCCTCCACAATCCATTCAGCTGTTTTATCACTGATTAAACTTTTTTCTTCGGTACTTGGTTCCACAGAACTCCCTAGGCATGAGAACCAGAAGGAATGACTTTGACCACAAAAGATAGGAAAAAGCACATTCTCATACGTTATTTCATTTGATGTTCAAAGCAACTCTGGATGGGCAGCAGGGTGGAGATTTTTAATGTCTCCATTTTGCAGAGGAGGAACATGAAGTTCAGAAGTTTAATGATTTGCCCAAGGTGGAGTGAGCGGTGAAGATGGGCCTGGGTCCCTGTTCTCTCATGCCTCTGTCATTGCAACAGGCAGCCCAAGCATTCTCTTACTTTAAATATGGTGCATCATTTTTAAAAATCAAGGAGCTCAAAGAGATCTAAAGTAATGACTCTCACCCAGTGGGTGCGACTGGGACCTATCTGAATCTCAGGAGAGCCTGTGGCGTCTGAGGAAGCATATGCTAAAATTACCTGTGGCTTTGATTTGCTTGTGTTAGTCACAATGATCGACTTATGCCAAAAGTTCAAATCAGCTTATAGAAGGCCACGAGATTTTGATGTTTGGTATTATGGGTTCAAAGAAGGATGAGAAACATGGATGAACCTTGAGAACATTAAGCTAAGTGAAATAAGCCGGTCACAAAAAAACAAACACTATATAATTCCACTTAAATGAGGTATCTAGAGTAGTCAAATTCATAGAGCCAGAAAGTAGAATGGTGGCTGCCAGGGAGGAATCTGCGGGGAGGGGGAAAGGGGAGTTGTTGTTTACTGGGTATAGAGTTTCAGTTTTGCAAGATGAAAGGAGTTCTGGAGGTTGGTTGCTCAACTACTCAACTATGTGAACGTACTTAACACAAATGATCTGCACACTTAAAAATGGTTAAGATGGTAAAAGTTATATTATGTGTATTTTACCACAATTAAAACAAAAAGAGACAGAAAAAGAAAGGATGAGAAACATTAACTAGCCTGGTTTTTTGGTTCCTGGAAGAGCTAGCCTCAAACCACCCAAGAAAGTGAGCTCCCTTCCACAATGGAATATGTGGTAACATATCGCATTGTTTCTGAAACCCCCAAGCCTCCTGCCGCACTAGAACTCAGTCTAGGGGACACTGAGTCCCCAGGAAACTAAATTCAGTGCAGCTAATGAAAAGTACTGTACAGGGAGGTGGAGAAGTAGTCCCTGGGCCCCGGGAGGCGCACCTGGCTAGGCAGATGGGATCCTGAAGTCCTAGGGTGCTACGACCTAGTTCGATTTCATTAACTCAGCACTAGGGGTTTGAGGGTGGACTGGCCCAAACTGGACCTTGGAGATCTGCCCCAGGTCAGTCCTGATCCCATGGGGAATAAGGCGACCCATGGTTCCCATATGGACTCCAACCCTCAAGAGGTGCCCCCTACTGACTTGGTCCTCCTGGGATCAGGATAAGTATTCTGGGGCACCTGCTTCTGTCTCGGCCACTCCATTCTCACCCCTGTCTCTTCTGTGATTGAAAAAAATCCAGGGGACAGTTTACTAACCCAGAGGGCTTGCCTCCTTTTCACTGTCAGCCTGTGGAGGTGAAGTCGCCCTTTCACCATCCCTGGCGCTGGGACACTTGGCGTCTTCCTCCAGGGTGATGATGGGGCTGAGGGGCAGCCTTGGTTCTGCCACGTAGGCCTCCATTTGGGCTGTGGGGGAGGTAAGAGGCAGGTATAACACGCTGGGCTTTTTTGGCACAGGAGGTGGAATCTTGCCTTTCTTTTTCTCAGCTTCTTCTTGGCTCTGGAGGCTAATTCTTTCAGGCAGGGCTCTCACCTTGGGGCCCTCGTCCTCCATACTTCCCTGGGGAAGCTGCTGGGTTCCTGAGAAGAAAGCACCAGAGGAACTGGCAAAAGGCATGAAAACAACAGACGAGGGTGCTGTCGACTCGCCTGGGCTTCTGCCATTGGGGAAGCTGGAGCTCTTTGGTTTCCGCACCACCGTGTAGCTGTCTTGAGAGAGTGGTCTCACGTGTTGAATTGAGCTCTTGGGGGTTATAGTCAAGGTAGGCGAAGTGAGTGGGTACTCCTCGGGGACAGATGGTGGCTTGTGGATCAAGCTCGGAGGTCTTCGGGCCAGCGGAGGCTTCTCAGCTATGGGAGGTTTCATCTTTCTCTCTGGCAAGGTGAAGACTTCTTCTGCTCTGGGTTCCTCAGTATAGTCAGGGCTCTCAATGTCATCTTCCGGCTCAGACTTGCTGACTGACCTCAGGCGAACAGAACGTAGGTCAGACTGAGTAACCATGGGCATGATTGGCTGGTTGGGACTAGTTTTCTGGGCCAGCTTGGCCCCGAAATTTGTATCTGAGTGATGCCTGCTCACCTTGGTTTTGCTTCGGATGGAGATACTCATCCCTGACAGATCCAGGTTGGTTGAAGTGGTCAATGGTAGGTCAAATGATAGCCGAGACTTGGGAATTTTCTCCATTGGTGATGTTGGGGGTAGTGACGACTTCCTCTCTGGTACCACTGGACGTACCCGGACGCTGCTGCTTGGAGGAGGAAAGTGGCTAAGGGTCAAGGACATGGAGACAGTGGGTGTTGGTGTCTCCGACTGGCTGGAGTAGCCACTGGAGGGTGACATCAGTCCAGTGGGCCTTCCTGGGGAGGATACCTCCCTGGCTTCCACCTCGATGGAGAGTTGGGAAGGTGTAGTGGCTCTGGAGGTGGAAGGTGAGGCCAGAGACTCTGAGCTGCCCTGAACTTGGGTGCACTCAATGACCGTGGTGCCAGTGGCAGTGCTGGAGCTGGACAAGGATTGGTAGGTGTCACCAGACTTCCAGTCAGTAAGATACCAGTGGTGGGAAAATTGTGTACCTTCTGGATCTTTGAGGGTTGGCACAGCTGGGTGACCCTGAGCATCTGGGTGGGATGAGTGATGTCCTTGGTATTCCAAGGAGAGGCAAAGGCTCCTGGGCCTCTGGTCCTTGGGTAGCGCAGATCCCCCTTCTGGCAAGAGGACTGGCTCATCTTTGACCAGTGAGACACTGCGCGTTGGCGGGGAAGGCTTCTTTTTGGCCTTCCTGAGTGAGATACTCTTGGACCTCTGCCTTCTGTGCTGGGCCTCCTGTTGGGCACTGAGGGAGGCAATGTTGTCAGCACTGTTGCTGCCCTCAGAACTTGTACTGGCATAAGGTATGGCACAGGCCTCACTGGCCTTCTGCTCCTTGTCATAGTCCACATCTGTGGTGCCCGAGTCTGTGGGCACAGACAGTGACCGTTCCCGGAATCTGCTGGCTCCGCCTGGGCCTGTCTCCAGCTTTGAGGTAGCACCGGTCAGAGGGCCAATCTTGGAGGGTCTTTCCGGTACTTGCCTTCGTTGAGTAGGGTGCTCAGAGTGGCCAGTTAACCCACTGCATCCTGCTGGGATATCACGAGCGACAAAGAGGGTAGCAGCCTCCTTAGGAACCAGAGGTGGGAGTGTGTTCAGAGAGACCCAAGAATTCCCAGAGGAAGGATGTTTTCCATTTTCATTGACTTGATTTCTCTGGCTGGTGGCACATGGAGTCATGTAGGTAAAAGCATCTCCCTTCCAGGAAGTGGAGAACGTCGATTCTGTGGGTCCATTGCAAGGATTAGGGACGCTGTACACCATTCCCACGCTCTCCATACCAGGAGGGTTTGGGCCGCTCCGTGCCTGAGGAGGTTCTTCCGGCTCACTCGAAGGATTTCTCAGTATTGGCGATGTGACGCTTGGGAACCGAGCTTCCTGACCAACCGCAACTCTTCCATGAACACCTTCCAGAACTGAGTGACTGGGCCTGATGTCGGAGGTGGTAGAGTGGGCCACACTGCCTACTGGGCTGTTGCTGTGACCTGGAGGAAGTAAACACAGAATGTTAGCGGTGCAGCAAGGGATTCCCCATCAGCTGTTTTGAGACAGGAGCACCAACTTTTTGCCAAGAAGCATCTGTCAACAGCTTGGTCAGAATTCCTTGGTTCTTCCTTTCCATGGATGAGGGAAGTTGGGTCCTTTCCCATCACCCCACAGTGAGTGATAGGGTGCCCTTGAGTTGTCCAGATGGCTGCCAAAGGCTTTCCAGCTTTGATCATTCCTTTTAGAGCTGAAGTGTCACGTGGGACTACCTTGGGTTTTTCCCATGCTTTCACCCCAGCCTCACGAAACCATCACAGACCTCAGCGTTCATCCATCCGGAGATGAGAGCAGAGGCTTCCGAACTAAGGACAGCACTGTGTGACTTTCAGCTCCAGCAGTGACTCTGGAGTTTGCCCGAGCTGGAAAGTTAAGAGTCTGGTTGCATTTCTGGCACCTTTCAATTTTAGTCTTTGCAACATAAGAGACTTAGGAGAACCTACAGATGTGAGGAAACCATTCAGATGTTCCAAATCCCCAAAGGTTTTCTCATATATGCAAACAACTATTACTGCTATGTCATTATTATTACTACTACTACTGCTATGATCGTTTATAATAACAGTCACCATTTGTTGAACACCGGCTATGTACCAGGCACATGGTAGGCAAATTACTTAAAATAACTGTAATCCTCACAGTAACTCTACTGGATCGATATTATTATCCCCAATTTACAGGCGAAGAAGCTGAGACTCAGAGAGGTTATGCAACTTGGTCAAGGCCTCATGGTTAGTAAGCAGAGAGGCCGGGACTCACATCCTCTGATATCTCCCCGCTCTGTGCTCTTTGGACGGCGTTCATTTAATGGTAGCAATGCTTCTGTTAACATGATGGTTTTAGCAATGATTCCTCCCCCCTTATCTATTTGCCTAAATTCGGCACATCTGGTTATATTACACTTATGATGGGAAAAATAATGTAATGAATTTATTAGCCCCGGAGACCTGCTCTCCATGATGAGCTGCTGCCTTGACAATAGGCCCTTGGCTATTCTCAATCACCACATTGGCTTTTTCAGGACATCCACAGCCCCCCACCCATCCCCCGAATTATTCCTGTTCCCCATCACCACGGTACCACCTGGGTGGCAGGATGGTGGGAGTGGGCAAGGGGAGGGGTCTGGGGGATCAGCTGTGGTGGGGTCACCTTGGTCTCGCTGGGAAAAGTTAGAGAATCCAATAATGGTCCGCCTCCGCCTCAGGGTGGACTTAGGGTTCACGGCTGTCTCTGTGTTAAACAACGAGTGTCGCAAACTTGCATGTTTATCAAACTGCTGCCCTGTAGCCAAAATAAAGACACTTGGGTGCATCCCGGTTTCTGTTTAAAGCACAGTGGAAGTTGGCCTGAGGTAGAGAGAAGGGATGATGGCAGTAGCGATGAGCATGAACAGTGTCCGAGGCAGGCGGCGCGTCTTCTCCATCCCTCCCCATTTGGCCCTGGCACACATGCTGGCTTCCACAGGCTGCATCCGGGTCGCCTGCAAGTCCTAGGCGGACTGGGGAAGTGGTTTTCAACACTGGCTACATAGTGAAATAAACTGGGAAGCTTCTGAAACTCCAATACCTGGACCCCACCCCAGAACACTTAAATCTCTGGGAGTAGGGTCCAGGTAGCAGCATTTTCTAGAAGCTCTCAGGTGATTATTCAGATGTACAGCCACGGGCGAGAGCCAGGGGTGAGAGCCATCAGCGAGGAGCCATGGGCTGAGACTGGATGTTGCTTGACTGTGATCTTTTCTCAGAGAGAGCCTTTATGTGGGCCAGGAGAAGCCCCTGTCTCCAAGAAGTTGCCCCACTGTGCTCCACCATCCAGGTGCCTACAGCCACCTGGTTACATTATACCAAAGTTGGCTACGGCGTGGTGAGTGAGCTCTATTTCTCTTAAAGAGAAATGACTAGGGCAGTCAGGGTGACACAGGCCCATGGGGCAAGGCATGCAGTTCCCCTCCCTGTCTCTCATTCAGCAACTGGCTAACCAGACCCTTCCCCTCGGCCACGTGGCCACAAATGTACACACACATGCCAGCAAGAGGCTCTGTGGGCAAAACTCAGGGATAGCCTCCTTGAGAGTAAGAGAGACATTTCGAAAGACAGCACCCAACGTCACTTTATGAGTCTCTCCTTATCAGCCCTTACTCCTCTCGGTACATCTCCCTAAGCCGTGGGCTCTGTTTCCTGTCTCTGATTTCCTGAGATGACGCCAGTGGCACTGGATGACCCCATATCAGGGAACATTGCCACATGTGGCCAGAGCTGTCCTCATCGTCTTAACATTTTCCAGCATAGCATGGGCTGGTGCTAGCTCGAATGGTCCCTCTGGTCCCTTTGGGTTACCGAGGTCTTAGTTTCAGCAGGTCACTGGTCCTATCTCCTTCTGAAAATGACTGGCCCTCCTCTTCCCCTCACAGCCTGTGGTGTGTGGAGCATGAACTAGCAACGGGCACGGTATAGTGTGCCACATGCCCCAGAGCCACAGCCAGCTGGGCTGTGCACATCATTTTCCCCACTTCCAAGGTCGTACTGGGTCCCCTTTTGGTCTCTTTGGCCTTAGTACCTTTCTACTACTTCTATTCTTGAAAAACGTGCCAAACAAGTTGAGGAGGCCCACCTCGCTAGAAGACCAGTGTCTAGTGCAAGTGTCACAAGGCCTCTGGCCTGTGCCTGGCTGTGACCCTCCCTTTTACCACCAGCACTCTGAACCCCTCTGCCCCGCCCCCGGCTCCTATTGGTGTACTCCAAATCCGGCTTCGGGCACAAGAAGTTGTCTTTTTCTGACCCAAACAGAACTCACTCACAAACTTTAAGTTTCCACATATCCTCTGAAGAGCACACAAGTTCGTAAACTTTTGGAGCTTTCAGTTAAGAAAATTTTGTTTGCTATCGAATGGGCTCAGTTAGTGTGGCAGTGCCAGTAGGGAGCGAAGAAAGAGCAGCCAGAGCCCCCTCTTCTGCGCACCTCCGTTCCCTGGCGAGAGCCATGACCGCGACAGCGCAGGGCGAGCCAGTAGCAAAGAAAGTCTCCCTCCCTCCCCCAGCACCCAGTGCACCGGAGAGGATGGTCTGTGGTGCCGTGGAGGGAAGCGCACAGAGGTGGTGCTAAGCAACTCTACCAGAGACGTTGATGGGCACAATGTCAGAGTGCGTGGAGCAAGGCTGAGGCCACCGCTTCTCCTCTAGGATGGGCAGAGGGAAGGGGCTATTCCAGGCAGTTTGCTTGTCGGCTGTGGTAGGCAGGCCCGGCAAGGCCTCGGGGGCCCTCACACCCTGGGTGGTGGTCTCATCCTCGCTCAGCTGCCGTTTTGTAGGCTGTTGGGAAAGAAGGTGATGGAAAGGGTGTGCTCCTGCCTGGCGATGAGCCAGTGCCCGCAGGACGGCTGTTTAGACAGGGTGGTTGGAGGCTTCGTCTGGGAGGCAGGGGAGCGTGGACAGGCGGACAGGCTGCCAGGCCAGGCACCTGACGTGCAGGGCTCATCCCGGTGGGGCCTCGGGTAGCTCTGCTGGTGAGCAGAGGTGAGCAGCAGCTTCCAGTGGGTAATGTAAGCGGCTTGAGGTCTCCTGTCACTGGGTGCATGCTGGCTCTCCCAGGAGGGGCAAGAAGCAACTCACCATCAATACAAACTCCAGACGCCTGGCAGACTGGGGCCTTGGGCTGGGGGTGGGCTCAGGGGCCTCATCAGAAGAGCGGAAGGTCTGCCCCAGAAGTCTGGCCTCCGAGTACTGTTCCTCATATTCTTCTGAAAAATAGCAGAGTGGAGACACACTCTAGGGGGCTACGGCTGAGCACTGGGCTTGGGAAGGACCATGAGCCGGGGCTCCTGCTCTAGCCGCCAGGCCTGACTTGCATTCTTACAATAGGTTATTTCCCAGAGTCTGAGCCAATGGATTCAGAAATGGAAAAGTGTCTGCTTCCCAGGACTGTGAGGGCCGAAGAGAAGAGAAAGTGAATAAATTCAAGCTGTGCTGGTTTGGGGACCAAGTCCTTATCTCAATGGCCCCCACCCTAAGTGCTCAACCTGGAGAAGAGACTCGGGATGCAGATACCTTTTGATACTTTAGACTGCAAGGTCCTCTCTTTGAAGCCCTGCAGCTCTTCAGGTTTTCTGCAAGCCTACCAAGGGAATGAGCTGTGTGAAGCAAGAGGAGATCGCACTGCGAAGTCCAGTCTGGAGTTCCCTCTTGGATGCCAAGAACTCTAACTTGAGCCTTTGCAGGCCTGGTTCCCTATACCTTAGTCCCACTGTGGGTAAGGCAGGTCTAGGAGGACAAAGGTGAAGGAGAGGGAAGGAGGAGGTAGCAGCATAGAAGAGGGAGAAGTTCCGACGCATCGTCGGGTGATAAGAAGGATGCGTAAGATTTGAATGGGTTTGACTGAAGGGATGAATTCGATGAATAAACAAAGAAAGTGAGAGTACAAAACAAATGTCCACGCTCTACGTACATTTGAACAAAGACTCTCTTACAATCATAGAAAGTCAGGGTTGCTCTCAGGGTTCTCCGGCCCAACACCCCATTCTGCCCAGAGTCCCTCCTGGGCAGCCCTTCCAGGTGCTTCTGCATGCCCAGCGCGCACGGCCGCAGGGAAGGGGAGCTCCCTCCCTCCCGAGGCAGCTCATCCCTTCTAGGGACAGTGGGGGCTGTCAGGTGTGTCAGAAAAGTTCTTCCTTATCTGGAGGTGAAATCTGCCTCCCTCCGGGTTTCCACCCACTGGTCCTAATTCTGCTGGGGCAGCAACACGAAACAGACCGACTCCTTTTTTCTGCATGGCAGCTCCTCTGTTATGTGAACACAAGGCTCATGCTGTCCCTTGGCATCTCGCTTCTCTAAGGTCACCACTGCCCTGGCAGGGAGGTGGGGGTTATGGCTGTAGTCCAGTTGGTGGCCCATCGGCAGTTTTCTATTCTCTGTTAGAGTTAGCCTTTGTTGGTAGGTAAACGAGAGCTCACAAGCCCTCTCTTCACATCTAACATCCACTGAGCACCTCTTGGGGGATCCAGCCCTGTGCCAAGTGCTTCTGGAAACCTAAGGGTAGTAAGAGATGTGATTCTTCACGTCGAGCTCAGTGTGGTTAGGAGGGCAGAACAGGTGACCTCCGGGTGCTGCGTATTGGGCTTACTTTGGTGAGGCAGTGGCGACCCGGGAGGCATGTGGACAAGGTTACCGTAAGAGCAGAGTGAGTGAAGCCCAGAGTGGGAGGCCATGCAGATGGCCCCTTTGTCTTCTGGTGCCGCATTCCAGAGGCATGGGCGATGTGGCAAGAGGAGGGCTGGAGGGAATGTGGGAGTTTCCCACCCGGCTCTCTGTGACTGGCTTGTCCTTGTTTTCCCCATGGACTACTGAGCTGAAAAAGGGCGGGGGGCGCTGGAAACAGACTCTTTTAGAATCATTAGTGTGAAAGGCGAAAGATGGGAACTGTGTGCTCTGTCTGTTGATAGGTTTTAAACTGCTCTTTTTCTCTTGCTGGCCCCTGTCCTCTTTCTTCTCTGCCTCCCTCCTGCCGCTGCGCATGTCGCCTCTGGGCTCCGGCCGCAGCCCCCCTCCCTCTCGGTACCTTGCAACAGGCTCTGGAGATTGAGCTGCGCCTCGCGAAGCAGCTCCTCTACACTCGGGGGCCTGCCCGGGGAGAGGAACACGTTCACTGGCTGTCGCCATGACGACCTCGAGTGGGCAGTCGCTGTCGCATTTTCCCGACCCGAGTTAGCTGCAGCTAGGGAAGGAGAGAGTCAGTGAGAGGCGCCGCCGAGGGGGCGGCGCGCCGCGGCCAGTGGGCGCCCGCGGTTCCCCGAGACCCGCCCCGCGGGCGGGGGGAGACGAGGCTGCGCTTAAAAGGCGGGGAAGCGCCGGCCGCAAGACTTTTCCTCGACAGAGCCTGCCGCAGTCGGCTCCCTCCGGGTCCGACCGCCTCACCGCCTCGTCCGCCCAGCCCGGCCCGGCCCAGCCGCCCGGCCGCCGCGCCCGAGTCGCCCGCACCCTCCGCCCGGCGCCTCCCGGCCCCGCGCCGCCGCCCGCCCTCTCCGGCCCCGCGACGAGGTAACGCGCCCCGGGCCGCGCCGCTCGGCCCTCTGTCCCCAGCGCCGCCCCCCGTGCTCGCCCCGGTGGGTGTGGCCCGGCCTCTCCCGCGCCCGCCGCCGCCGCGTTTCGGCCTCCTCCCGCCGCCCTAGCTCCCGGTCCTCCGCCCCGAGGCCCAGGGCCCCTGAGCTGGTCAAGATGTCCGAGGCGGCAGGAAACCTCAATAGCCTCCGCATGGCCAACGTAGCCCTGCGGGAAGAATTAAATGCCCTGCGCGGGGAGAATGCCAACTTGGGCCTCCAGCTCGGAAGAGCCCTGGCTGAGGTTAATTCCTTGCGGGGCAATGTCTCGAGCTACATCCGCTGGCCAGTGCCCATAGTGCCCGTCCTTGCCGAGGAGAACTTTGAGTTCCCGCTCAGTGAGATCGACGCCATTCCCGAGGGAGAGCTGCCCTTCTTGTGCTGGCCTCCCCCGCGCACGGAGCCCGAGTATGTCTCGGATGATCTTTTGATTAACGTGATCCAGGACTGCAGCACCCCGGATGGGCCCACCGACCCTCCTCTGCTGCCCATCCCTCCCCCACCGGCGGTGCCCCCGCCCGCGCCAAAGGAGCCGCCCCCGCAGGCCCCTCTGCCACCGCTGGAGCGGCCTGAGATAGAGCCGTTTTCAGGTGACCCAGTCTACCTGGCTGAATTCCTGATGCAGCTAGAGACCTTCATAGCTGACCATGAGGATCATTTCCCCGGGGGCGCCGAGCGGGTGGCCTTTCTGATCTCCTTTTTCACTGGTCAAGCCAAGGACTGGGCCATCTCGGTCACCCAGGAAGGAAGCCCCCTGCATGCCAACTTCCCGCGCTTCCTGGATGAAATCCGTAAGGAATTCTGTGGTCCCATCCCCCCACGTGTGGCTAAAAAGGCCATCCGCAAGCTCAAGCAGGGACACTGTACCCTCGGCAGCTATGCAGATGCTTTTCAGTTCCTGGCCCAATTCTTGTCTTGGGATGACTGCCGCCTCCAAAATCAATTCCTCAAAGGCCTGTCGGAATTCTTCCGCAAGGAGCTCTTATGGTCAACTGAAATGGCTGACCTGGATGAACTGATTCTCGAATGTGTGGAGATAGAACGAAAGGTGCGCATCCCCAAGCCAATCCCGCTCCCTGGGGTTCGCAATGTCTTCTTCCCTTTTGCTCCGAGCCCTAATGAGGATGAAAGTGAAGAGGAAGAGTACTACAGTGAGGATGAAGGCCAAGAGGCACGCAGGCGCAGGCTTCACCCCAAGGACCAGCGGAGGCGCATGAGGGCTTTTCAGCAAGAGATGAAGGAGGAGGAGGAGGAGATGAAGGAGGAAGACATGAGTAAGGAGGAGGAAGAGGAGGAGATGAAACAGAAAGTGGAGGAGGAGGAGATGACGAAGAACCAAGATGAAGAAGAGAATAATGATGAGGAAGAAGATGAAGATGAGGATGGGGGCCAGAAACCAGAGCAGGAGCCAGGGCAGCAGCCAGGGCAGGAGCCAGGGATGGCGGAGACCTATGGTGAGGAGGAGGAGGAGCCCCTGGACGAGGCCCAAGAGGATGACCTAGATGACCTGATGGAGATGGAGCCGACCTTTGCTCACGCGTCATCCCAGACTTCTGGCCCCGTAAGTGGCAACTACGCCGAAAATTTCCTGGGTGCATCGCCTCCCATAATACAGCCCAGCAGACGGAGGAACCAGAATCGAGTCCCACTCCTGGAGGGCCTTCCAGGCACCAATTCGCCATTCTACAGCTCGCCACCGCTGATTCGCCGCGCGGGTCGCCTGGGGCAACGCCAAATTCGAAGACGCCCCCCAGTGCTATTCCGCCTCACTCCGAGACAGGGGGGCCACCGAGCTGCTCGTGGCCGAATTCGCGTGTGAGTGCCGGGGCGACATGGCCACCCGGAACACACCCTTCTTCTGCGTCCCCCACCCCTGCTATTGCTGCCACACCTGCCCACCTGCTGACCAGCACTTAAGGGAGTTCTAGACCTGCAGAACCGGAAGAAGACCTACAGAACTCCAGACCGTCTTGCAAGCAAGACCAGAGAGTGACATGTGCCTGACCAGGGCCACTTGGGAAAGGAGGGATGAGCAATAGCTGCCCTGCTGGCATGTACTCTGCTCAGTCCCGCCACAGCTGGAGAGAGGTTTCTGGGCCTGTTCCCATAAATGAACTGGTCGCCCTCTTGTATTTCCCCTCTAGTTGTTCCTAACCCTCACCTCTCCTGCGTTTATTTGCCCTGTGTTCTACAGTTTTATCCTCTGACTGGCTCACCAGGACTTCACCCAATGCCTCACTGATCTGCCCCAGGGACCAAAGGACAGGCTACACTGAACTCCTAAAGCCACTGAGGCCAGTTACTAGATGTAATCGACAGCGAGCAGGTATCAAGAAATGTACCTAGAAGCCTCCACTCATTTCATGTCACGCCTCCAGCAGAAGGGCCTGGAAGAGGACCCTACATGTAGTCCAGTGAGAGTGTGCAAAGCCACTTGTCAAATGAACAACTAAGATTTGTCCTTGACTGACTGTGTAAGCTAGTTCCGCTTCTGGCACTTGAGGGCCCTTGAACCAGCTTGCCAAATCTGGGGCCCTCTCCTCTTACCACGCTGCCCTCCTGGGCATCCCTGGTGGACAGTGCCCACCTTTCCTTGATGTTGCCTAAAGGGTAGGCAGTTGTGGGGTGGGGGAGGAGGAAGAGGAGGAGGAGAAAGAAGCAGCAACAACTCAGTTTGCCATTGTAAGGAGTGACTCTTGCCTTAGGAATGGTGGTCTCCTCCCCCAGCCAGGCCTTGGACTTCAGCCCCCAGTCAAAGGTCTTTCTAGGAGACTTTCCATCCTTGAGGTCACAGAGGAGGCCTAACTGGCCTTTCCTTCTGGGACAGCCAAAGAGAGGGAGGGCCCGGGGCCTGCTCTTTAACTCCCTTTGACTTCAAGGATTCCTTAGTTCGGAGAGGAGAGAGAAAGGTTGGCTGTACAGAGACTGCAGCCCCTGCAGCCTTGCAGCTGGGACACCTTCATGTCTCTCGAATAGGGGTCAACCCCTGGCCTGCTGCTGTGCTTTGATTAGACAGTGAGGCATAAGAGGGTGACTGCCTCCTAGGAACTCCTAGGACTTCTGGGTACAAACCCAGGTGCCCTTATAAAGAGACCTGCTGCTCACCTTGGGTCCAGAAAACACTGCTTTTGCAGTGAAAAATACACGTTTACTATGTCAGCTCTGGCCACAAAATGCCAGCCAAACTGGAAAGCCCGAACTGCCCGGGACACTGAACTTTCTGCGCAGTGCCTGCAGCTGGGCAAGTGCAGCCAAAGTGTCTGTGGCCAGAGGGAGGGAACAGTCAAACCTCTGTTCCTGATTGGAGTCTGACAGATAACCTCAGCCCAGCCTTAGGATTTGGTCCTGGCGGCAAGAGGAAGGAGCTGGAGGAAGAGGAGTCGCAGAGAAACCCAGTCCTCCGACTGGTTTCTGGTGAGGTCTCTGTTCGTCATTGGGAGGTAAGACGCCCTTTCGTTGATCACTTTTGTTTCTCAAGCCGGGGATCGGTGGAGTTGGGTTCCTATAACCTGTTGCTACCTTTTAAAAATGTCCCCCCTTTCCAAAGAGAAAAGTAATACATAATCATTACAGAAAATTGAGAAAATAGAGAAAACTATAAGGACAACAACAACAACAAAAAAACCCAAATGTTCAGAATCCCACCACACGACGCAAGCACTATTAACACATTGCCGCCTTTCTTTCTAGTGTGTTCTTGCTGTGTCTTCTCAAAGCTGAGATCATCCTGCTTTGCTCTGGATCAGCAGGATTTAAAATGGCTGCCACCTGTGCAGTCATGCATACTGAATAATTTATTCAAGCATTCTCCTAATTTATTGGACATTTCAATTGTCTGGTTTTCCCCATCCCACCAGGGCAGGAATAAATAACCTTGTAAAGAAACTTTTGTCTGTTTTCCAGCTTATTTCCTCAGGAGAGCATTCCAGAAGGGGAACTGCTATTCTTCGAGGCTGTGGACCCTGTTTGCTGGTGGCCGACACGCTGTCCCTGCTGTCCCACGTCCCTGTGGAGGAGTATGAAGGACAGGTGCCTTGCACCCCTACTTCCAGGGAGCCCTCAGCACAGGTCCCGCCTGTTCCCATGGTGCTTCTCACCCTGAACCCTCGGAGCCTCAACCAGGGACAGAGTGGATGAGCAGTGAGCTGGTTTCCGACCCTCTGGGGGCAGGAGGGGCTTGGGCTTCCCTTTGACCCTCTTCCCCGCTTTCCCAGATCTTCAATATTTGTTGTGATGTAACAGCCACAAGAGCTGCAAGAGGAACTATGGGCTTTGGGCGTTTTTCTTGGGTTGAAAGGGGTTGGGGGAGAGGATGCATGCGGGGCATGAAGGCAGCCCAAGGACTCCCAGAGACTCGGAGGACTCATCTGAGATAAATGTGTTATTGTGTTATTGTTGCATTACTGTGTTGTGAAAATAAGAAATTGCTCTGTATGCTAAAGCTTTCTCTCCTCAATAAAAATACAAAGGGTGTGTAAAGATTGGGTCTCTCTGGGTCATTTAACAAGCATAGACAGGTAGCCAATAGGTATCAGGTGCTTCCAAGGCCCCCTGCCTGAAGCAACCCTAGCCTGAAGTCTTGAAACCCTCAGATGAGGAAACTAAGGCCCAGCGAGGCTCAAGGGACCTGCCTACGTTTGGGATGGCAGAAATTGTTAGGAGGGAAGTAGAAGCACCGGGCATCTTGAAAAACAGCACGAGTTCTCTACCTACTGGGAGTGTGGGTGGCCCAGCTCTCCCTCCCTTCCCGTGACAGCGCCCCCTCCACCCCAACAGCACGTGGGGCTTTGAGTGGAGGGAGGGAGGGAGGGAGGCCAGCCAGGGTGCAGGGGAGGGCCCTTCCACTTCTTGCCACTAGGTGGCGCTGTGGGACGCCAGCGAACTAGCTGGGGAAGCTGTTGAAACACAAATCCCCAGAGCAGTCGGTGTAGAGGCCCAGCAAGATCTCACTGCTCCTCACAGACTGTGGGGGCAGGAGACACTGAATCCCATTCTGGGATTTGCCCAAGTTTCCCAGCATGAATTGGACATTTTTTTCCCTGGGGAAGTGGGTGGGAACACTCACTGAGCCTTCACTGGTTGTGAGTGCTGTTCCAGGCACTTCCATCCCTTATCGTATTTCATCCTGATAATCTTCCTGGGGGGCAGGCACTGTCCTCCCCCTCATCTTAAGGATGAGGACACTGAGGCTGAGAGAGGAGAAGTCACTGACCCAACGTTGACAGCCAGTGAGTGGCTCCTTTGTAGCCCCTCCACCGCCCATTAGCTCCGGGGACACAGCCCTCTCTCTGTCCCCACTCCACTGGCTCTACTGTCTTACAGGTAAGGCTGGGCTCCGGGTTCTGCCCTGTCCTCCCCTCTTCCCCAGCTTGCAGGATTCCAGTGGAAAAACAACCCCTAGTTTCAGAGGCACATTTGCTTTGTCCCTTTAAGAGGAAGGAAGGGAGGAAGGGAGCGAGGGAGGAAGGGAGGGAGGAAGGGAGGGAGGGAGGAAACCAGCCAGTTTCTGACCATGTGCCAGGCATTTTCACCGACATCATCTCATCTCACTGGCACAACAATTCAGCAAGGCAAGCAACGGTGTCTCCCTTTAGAGTGGAGGGACATGAATCTTAGAGATACTTGGTTCCATGGGGGTCTTTGGGTCTTTGTGACTCCTAAATCCATACTCTCTCAACTCCAATACACCATGCTGTCACCCAGGAGAGGCCCCTGACAAGCTCGAGCCTCGACCTGACTGGATACTTGGTCTTTGCCAAAGCAACCAAGTGTGCATGAGGTGTGCTATCTCTAGAGGCTCTGGGGAACCAGCGGGGGGCAGTTCTGCCCTGCAGGGAAGGGCATCCTGAGTAAGGCGGGCGGGGCGAGTGGCAGTGCTGAGTATGTAGCTGACTGCCACTTCCCGGAAGGGACAAGGTTATGGGGCCATGAGCTTCATCAGTGAGCAATGGGGCTCCCTGTTATGTTTTGGGGGGGTCAGACAAGGTCACCAGCACCCCCGGGATTTCATATGACATCACAGGTAGGGATAGGTGAGCCCATATTGTGTAACGGCCAATCAGAGAAAGTGGGGAAAAGTAAGAAAAATAGGGTCAGCCTTTCCCAAACCCCGCAGCTGGAAGCACTCTGGGGATAGGGAAAAGGGACCTGCATTCCAATGCAGCCCCGCCACTGACCCATATGGGATCTTGTGCAATTTCCATCCCCTCTCAGGCCATGGCTTCCTTATCTGTCTAGTCACTGTTGAGCCCCTGGGGCCCAGCACATGACTTGGTAGGCAGTCGGATCTCAGCCCTAGTTTGATACATAAATGAAGAAGTGAGTGAGTAAATGGGGTGCTGGCTGGAGACCTAGAGGCAGCCTGCTAAGGGCACCGGCAGGTGGCATGAAGCTTGGAGGACGAGAGGATCCCCTCCCAAATGGATGACTGAAGTAGCCCCACTGCTGGTCTACTCAGCCTCTAGACTCTACCCCTCCTAATTAGCCCACCTTCCACATGCCTGGGGCTGGGGGCCATGGGCCTTTGAACTCACAGATCTGGTCTTGTTGCTGCTATAACAAAAACCTTTCGCTGGCCCTCCTTCCTCTTGGAAAGACTTATGGCCCTGATTGTGGCATTCTTCACTCTCTGCTCATAAACTACCTGTGCTGGCTCATCTGCCCGCAACATCCTTCTTCTCTCTTCTATTCAGTCCAGACTCCAGACATGCTGAATTCCTTCCTTCTTTTCCTCACATACCAGGCCCTTTCAGGCCTCTGGGCCTTTGCACACCCGATTCTCTCTGCCTTAAAGATTCATGAAAACTCTCCACCCCACTCCGATGGCAATCTTCTCAGCTCCAAGACCGCTTCCTCCACGAAACTGCCTCTACTCCCCAGATAAGCCCCTTGCCTTCTGAGTTCCCCCTCAGCCCCCTACCCCTGGACCCCATGGTCTGTGAGGCTTGAGTTCCACCTGGGAGCAGAGGCTGGTCCATGACTCCACAGTGAGTTCGTTGCTGCAAGGCTGCTGTTCAGTGTGAGAGCATGGACTTGTCCCCTTTGCAGACGAAGGCTGCATTGGAAGTGGCCTTGGGAGGAGGACCGGCCCCTGAAGACCTGGCTGAGGGCTGATGGTATGCAAGTGGAGCTGGAAGTGCCCCAGATGAAGTTGGAGGTGTGGACAGTAGGGACAAACGGGAGAGCAAAAGCAGGAGCTTGCAGAGCTGGTTGTTCCTTCCCAGCTGGGCACTCTGTTGATGGCCCGCTTCTCTTTGGGGGCCATCACCTCCTCTCAGTGGCGTGGTGGAGAGTGACCTCCACTGGCCTTGAAAGTCACACAGACCTGGCTTTGAACCCTGGCTCTGCCACTCCCTTGCTGTGTACCCTTGAGTTGGTTATTTCACTTCTCCTAAGTCCCAGTTTCCTTTTCCTAAAAATGAAGATAATAATAGTATATATTGATAAGATCATTGATACGAACCAGCAACAACAATAAAAATAACTAATTACTTGTTAGCACTTACTATATGTTGGGCGCTAAATACTTTACATTTCTTAACACATTGAATCATCACAACCATCCTAAAAGGTAGGTAGTGTTATTATTTCCCCTTTTGTATATTAAGAAACTGGGCACAGAAAGTTTAACCTGCCTGATGTCACAGCACTAGCATGCAAGTGCTTTTGAACCCTTCAGTAAGACAGGCAAAATTCTGTGCGTCAGAAGTGAGGCCCAGGGAGCAGGTGAGCTCCAAGACCCAGGGTAGGGCCTTAAATCCTTTTTAGGGCATGGATACCTCTGGCAGTATGGTGAAAGCTCTAGACCCCTTCTCAGAATAATGTTTTCATGTGCATAAAATACAATATGTAGAATCACAAAGGAAACCCATCATATTGAAATAGTTAGAAAAATATTTTCAAAACTTTGTAATCCATTTGTATTACTACTTAATGTATTAAATCATAAGATCTCGTGGCAAGTCTATAGATGAGAAATTCTGAAGTGGTGATGAGCATAAGTGATTTTTTAGATACTTACAACCACTGTAATGTGATATGAAAATATTTGTGATTTCTGTTGGTGATAAAGTCACAGATACTGCTAATACTACTACGGTTTATTGTCCACATTCCAAATTCGAGGAAATGTTAAATTTCTGTTTGAGGTTAGTAGAGAAAAGATCAAATAATTTTCCCTTCTAAGTTCACAGAGCCTCCCCGCCCCCCGAATTTCTCCGCACACCACTTGGAGGTCCACAGAGCTCAAGTTAAGAAGCCCCGCCCCAGGGTGTCTGAGAAAAGACAATAGCTGCCCTGTCAGCTACAGGGACAAGCTGAGGGCTGGCAGAAAGACAAGTGTGTGGTTTCTCTTTCAAGAACTGTTTACAGAAATCGCCAAGTCTGGCAGCTCCCTCTTCCTCTTGGTCCCGAGACAGCAGCCCAGGGTGGGGCTGAGGCTGTCACACTTGGTCTGAGTTTCAGGCTCACCACACACCCATCCCTAAGAGCTGATTTGTTGCCACTTCCTTACCAGGGAAATGTTGGTGGGTTTTGCTCCATTTTAAAATGGGGACCTGCTTGTACATGCAGATTTCCTATTAGTCTGGGAATAATCTTTAAGCGGACATTTGGCTTGAAGACATTTTCTGGACTAATGAATGCTCCTACCCTAGCACCCCAGCCAGGCTTAGGGCTTGCAGAGAGAAGAGGAAAGAAAATCAACCGCGCAGGCACCCCCGAATACCAGTCAGAATTGGCGCTTGCCCAAAACCACAAATGCTTTTTCCTGACTTCCTGGATTTACCACCTGTCAGTGGAGTCCCTGCCAACCAGGGCAGCACAGTCCTGGGCACCGTGACCAAGGAGACATATGGTGGGAACAGCAGTAGGCCTCTGCTTTTCTAACTTGCCTCTATCCCCATTCAAGATTCAGTGTGCGCAATGCTCATGAAGACCAGGCCCCAGGCCCACCCACAAGGCCTTGCTTGGGGCTCTTCTGCTCTTTTGCTCTTCCTAGGCCCTCATATTTAGTCAGAAATGAGCAACACTTCGCTGATGACCGTGTAATAAAAAGGCAGCAGCTTAATTGCCACAGTGAGAGGGTGGGATTGTGATAGCCTTATGTACCATAGCCATTGGCTAATAAAGAGGCTGGTTCAGAATGAATCTGCCTCAGTTAGCTGAGGGGAGAGAACAGAATGCTTTGGGGGTTGAAGCTGAGAGCTCCACATGCAGGAATGTAGAGAAGACTGCTTTCCTTGACTATAAAAGACATATATGTATGTTCTTAGGTTGGCCAAGGCTCCCAAACACAGGCAGAAGGAGGCTGAGGGCCAAATGAGAATTCAAAAGAACTTTGGTTAGCTAGATTGACCAAGAATAAAAGACAGAAGACTCCAATTACTAAAATCAGAAGTGAATGAGGGGACATTATAATCAACCTTACAGAAACAAAGTTATGAAGGTACACTATGAATAACTGTATGACAATAAATTAG